TAAAAACATAAAGCTTTAATATGTCTCTTGCATGAAATTGAACTTTATTGCATTATTGTTTAGGATCATTTTGAGTCTAAGACCGATAAACAGATACTTAAACCCTAAGCCAGCTAACTCCAAGCATCATTAAGTCCTAAGAAGGCAGTAAATATCTTTTTCACATGCAATTTATTTCGTTTTCTTATCAACACAGCCATAACTCAAGAAGATTTTGAGACCGAGAGAAGTATTTTAAGAAGAATATTTTTCTCTATTCTTTTCAGTACTTATTGTGTTTACTGATGTAAAAGATATATAGGTTTAAAGTCAACCAGGTGGCATACATTACCATAAAATAATGGAGAACGAAATATTAGACATTGGCTTTGGGAATTAGTGAAAGCTAAGTAGGCAGTTTATTCTTACACTTAATAAGACAAAGGCAAAATATTATGTTTTATATAAGCGTGGTAAATTTTATTCTCTTATTAATTAGAAATTAAATTATTAATATAATCAATAATACTATATTAATATGTCTTTCTAAGATGCTTAGAAAGTGGATATTATTAAGATAGCATTCTCCGATTTTTATACTTCATCTTTAGTTATTTACTTATATTCAGATAATAATATGGCAATTTCTGTAAATATGTTGACGTTTTGCAATTTGCTTAAATGTGTAGTTGGAACGATAAAAACAAGTCATTATCCTCAATCGACTGTGACCTTAATCACTCGCAAAGAGGGCTGGACATCATTAGGTTGTTAGCAAACAGGTTTGTTCTGTGTACATTACTCTCAACCCATTTATGGATAGGAAATTCTTATGTCTTGTCTTGATGCATACACAACATAATTACGTATGTAAGATCACGCCATATGTGTCAGAGAAAACTAGATAACATATTTAATGTGAAAATTTAATCTTATCAGACGTAACATCCACTCATTATAATTTACCTACCCTAAGTCTTGCACCTTGGTCTTGCGTTTGCGATGAGCGGGAAAAATAGTCATGTGATTAAATGGTTCAGTAAATTTCATTAAAAGTTGTAACTACTAGAAATAATAGATAGTTATTAGTTTAATAGCAGTCGTGAATTTGTGTCAGTTTCAGAGTATTCGTGAGAAACACCCCTTATGGTGGTAACACATTGAGCAAAGTACACAAAACTGATGTGACGTAATTCTCCGTGGCGCCACTATCGCAAATAGTAACGTCTTCATCAAAGAAGCGTATTTGTTTCATAAAAGTGAATTTACCAGTTACGAGTATGCTCGTGCACAGATGCACACACACATATCCGTGTGTACAGATGAGCACAAACTTCCTGTAAACGGTCCAGTCGCATTCAATAAAATCATATTTCCGATAGCTAAACGTTTCGGCGAACTTGATTGCAAATAACGAAATGGAAGCGAATATCGTCGTTTGGCGGTAAGCTGGTTTGTGTGGAATGAGCTTACATGGACCAATGTAACTTGGGTATTGGACAATTGGAACATTTTGTAAGAATACCGACTTGCATTTTGTTCTTGAGGGTCATTTTAATCTTAACTTTATGTTATAAATGCGAAAGTACGTTTTTGTTTGTTACCTCAACATATTTTTTATAAACGTACTAGGAATTGCGATGAAAGACATTGGTTACTTTTACACAAGCAACGTCGCGGGCTAAAGTTAGTAGACGTTATTAATTCCAGGCATCATTTTGGAATCTATTTTTGAATCTATGAGGACCTAGGTTAATGTTATTGATAAGCAATATACTCATAGTAGTTAATTAATAGCTATCTTAGACAACTGTGTACAAATACATATTTCATTGACAGACAATAACAATAAACTGTACATGGTTTATTCTGCAAATTACGTTGAATTAACAAATAATTATGGAAGTCAATTTTACAGCAAAACCCATTATATCGTTGAAACTATAAACCAATTACGGCGACCATTTTTTTTCTGGACACCAGATAGGAGTAACGTACTGTGAGGTCAATTAGCCTAATTGCTGAAGCTGTCCAATGATTCGATATTGGCAGATTCTCTATGGGACTAACAACCCTTCGCTATACCAGTGCATTATGAGAGCAAAAACGCAGTAAATCTCATTACATTGAAGAAAACTAAGAAAATTTAACGAATATCGGATTTATATTTTATTTAGTCTCTGCTTACCCCATGCCCTGCCCCACCATGGCAGACAGGCGTGAGGTTATATATATATGTGAAAGAGTGTAGAGGCACTCTATGGTTGAGTGCTAAAGAATGCCATAAGACATTCAGTTCAGTATTCACTACAAATTTGTGTAAAGAAGAAATAAATAAAAAGAACTGTCTGGATGAGTTTGTGACTATGTGCCCTGAAGGTATCTGTATCGTGGCAGGCTATTGTGCCTGGCGACTTATCGTTTGGTGTAAACCGGGCACATTGTCCGATCCAGCACAATAGGCTCCGATACGGTTCAAAAGTAAGGTTGTGTTTACAATACATTGTCGGTTCTACCTCGTGAGACTTTCTTAATCACGCTTCGGTAAAAATGCTCGGGATTTTGACTTGTAATGTAATCTGTTTGAAGAAAAAATAAAATGTGAGATCAGATGAATATAAGGATTCTATCTATTTTTAGATGAAAGGGTGTAGATTGATGTTATATCTCATCGGTTTGATTTTAACTTGTTATTATTTTAAGATTTACATACTATAACATCTGTAAAATCATAAATATCATACATAACATCACGCCTTTTATCCCCGAAAGGGTAGGCAGAGGTGCACATTACGGCACTTAATGCCAGAAATATCAATCAATAACAAATTCAATTTACCCAATATTGAAGTCCAAATATCAAACAGAATGTCAATTTATCAGTCTTCGTCATAACATGCTTCATTAATACGTTGACACAATCATATCAAATGAACGTATTAAATTACGTCATTACTCCTGAATATGACACACTATAAGTATCATCGCACATGATCCTACGCATAAATCATTCAGCATGCCCAGAATTTTATTACAAGAGCTAAACCATTCGTCTGTACGTCCATGTCCAATGTCCACTCACGATAAATATTCAAAGAATTACATATCACGCATTTTATGTTCGGTAAGGAAACCATTCCTTAGGAAGGGGACACTTTACGACTCCTGTTTGCATGTTTAGCTCTCGGCTTGTTTATCCCATCCGTATTTATTGTGTCAATAACTCAGGGTATGTGGCATCTGATCAGCATGGATAGGGTTAACAAAAATGTTTCGTGGGAATGTGAAGATAAATAGGGGAATGAAAATAGTACGACCATTGTGTGCACAGCGTCCAGATTTAAGGCTAACGGAAATTGGTTTGAACCTTGCAAAGCTAAGTTGGTGTTTTTCAAACTGCATTCGTAATGGTGTACGAAGGTACAATAGCGTATACGTATTTATGACATTGTATTGACTTCTGTGTAGAAGTCAATACAAAACTACACAGTCTTACAATGTTTGCTTTACATCATACTTTTAATTGGTTATGTTGCACTCAGCACAATTGCTTAATTAGATGGAATCAAACTATCAACAATACACTACTAAAAATTAATAAAGAAACAATATTTATTCGGCATATTACGCACACAAAGATGAAGACAAAAAGTAAAATAAAAAAAAACAATACTCAAATTTAACGAACAAAAACCTTACTACCAGAGTACTCAGATCATTTTCGAACAATTCATTCAAATAAACCACTCTTTAAAACATTATTTGACAAATGAAATAAGACCTTAAAATACTACTACTAACATAATTATTGGACTAATCCTTTGTGTTCCAAAATTTCAAACTGACATCACAATCACAATTTCAACGAAGACGCAATTCCAAATGTTGCCGCTTTGACTCACACGAACTTATAACAAAATGAATTCTATTAAACTATATACTATTTTGTATAATAAAGCTGGATTCTAAGGCGAATATGATTAAAGACGTGTTTCAGTTTTGATTGAACATGTTCTTATAATGAGCGCCGCGAGCGAGGGACGTGACTTAGCGACTTGTAACATTGTATACGAGACAGAAGTCTTACTATCTATGTTAGGAAAAAATAATTCAAATTATTGGTAAGGCATTTACAGATAATCATGACGATGATTATTCAAAGATAATTTTAAAGGAGATATTTCCTAAAGTGCATGATAAAATTAAAATTCATTTATTAACAGTTCCATCTATAAAAATCGCTAAGAGATTTGGGGAAAGGATGGGGTACCGTCAGGTAATTTGGCCTCCGGTAACCTCACTTATACTTAGGTTTTCTGTGAGGCCTTGATATCACAGGAGGTATCCCATTCGTGCCAAAGTATGGTCGAAGTGTGGGAACACTTAGGTATAGTTAATCACTTTCAATCGGTCAATTCGATAAACAAAAACTGTGTCATTTGACCTATAGATCAACATTGTGGCATCAGAATTGTTAAAACCGACCATAAGAATTCCTGGGAACTATGACACAAGACTAAGTAATTGTGTTTGTCAAACTAAACAAGAGTAGGTATTTTAACCTTTGGAATGTATCTGCGTAGTGAAGCGTGTGTTCAGTCATACATGTCGTCGTATTGAAAATTATTGTAATGAAATATAGTACCATGTGAATGTGTCTTTTGTACGTCACAAAGCCTTGTTTTGTTTATCTCGAAAATCAGAGATTATCTGTAATGATCAGCAATAATCCGGCCTCATGTACCTCGTTAAAATTTGTTATATCATTAAAATATACCCTAAAGATATTTGAAGAATCTGTTGAAATATGATTTCATTTTTTTTTTATTTGACTTTGCCCCGCACTAGTATTATCTCCTTATAGTGGGTGCGATTACACACATACAAGCTCACATACACATGACACCCAGAACCGAAACAGGAATCGAACCCGCGACTCGTTGCGCGGCAGTCAGTTGCCCAACCACCGCGCCAACCGTGCAGTCAAACCAAATTGTAATCATCCCTTTTCTTTGTTACAGATAAACCAGTAAATGATCTACAGAACCGTACCAAAACTACAAAATGGTCGACTTATAGCAGTCAGCGGCCGGAGACATTTACTCGGACGGTGGCGGTGGAAGCGGAAAGATGTTAGTTCTGATGATCATACACTTCATTACCCTGCCAGTGCTAACATCCAGACTCGTCAGAGGCGAAACAGCAATGGACGAGAAACAACCGCAACCGCTCATCAGTTCCCGAGTAGTGAGGACCAAGTATGGTGATCTCAGAGGATTCATAGTTACTCCAGAATCAAGGTTCTTAGAACCTGTCGAAGTCTTCAGAGGAGTGCCTTATGCATCGCCTCCTGTAGGCTCTCTGAGATTCATGCCTCCAGTTTCCGGCGCGCAATGGTCAGGTGTCAAAATTGCCGAAGATTTCAGTCCGGTATGTCCTCAAGTTCTTCCCGATATAAGAAATGAGACTGCTGTCTTGAAAAGGATATCAAAAGGACGTTTGGAGTATTTGAAAAGGATACTCCCATTTCTCACGAATCAGTCAGAAGATTGCTTGTATTTGAATATCTACGCACCCGCTCAAGGTAAGTCCAGTTAATGTCTTTGTAGCTCTATTTTGTTATTCATCCAAAGAGTCTAGCGACGAATAAAAAGAGTGCTTACAAATCCGATTTGCGTCTCTGAACTTATTAACATTCAAATGGTTAAGGCTAAGAGACGCTGTGCATTGTAATGTTTCTTTTGTAAGGAAATTAACATGTAAATAAATACAAAGTCAGCTCGCCTTGACTGCTTCTTAGTTCAGGAATGTATAAAATAAAAGCACGTCCTGCAATACTTGCGTCCAGAACAGTTTTAATGACATCGATTACAATGTCCGATTAATATTGTAATTGATCGTAATCCAAATTAATTAATTGACGTCGCTAATATTTTGAAGGTCTTGCGTCTTACATAAACGAAATCCGCGAGCGTTCTCAACTTATTAAGAGAAGCTATATCAAGAAAATCGTGACCTATTTTTGAAGGAATGCCATCAAAAGGTCGTCACCAACACAGCTTCCAGTTTCTCATTCCTGATAAATTTATTCCCCTCTTTGTTACGGTAAAGTGACAACAGGGATGTATAAACAAGGCATTTTAATCCAAATTTCGTCAGGCAAGCGTTACACTCGTAAATTGGGGGTGGGCACAAAAACTTGATTTATAATTTCAGTTAAAATCTCCCCAAGCTCCAGTGAGCTAATTTTCAAAAAGACTTTTGTCCTTGTCTGGGGAGGTTCACATTCATTTTAGCAGTTGGCCGGACAGGGGTATTTTTTGAATGGCTGCGGTCGGTATTAAAAATAAATGAAATGTCTTTTATTACGGAACCCACGGATGTGACTAATTGGAACGTGAATGGTGGTAATGATGTTGCGATTCTGAGTTGATTTTTGTTTTGTGGTGCAATAAAAAGGTACTCTACAAAATCTTGGCCTGAAAATCATTCTAAAGTACTTTCTTTGACAAGAGAAAATAAACTATCAATTAAAAAAAATATAGGTTACTTTTGACAAAATTGATATTTTGCCAACAGAACCTTACCAGCAATTCCTAAGATTAAATGTCTTAAGTACTGACATGCCGACAAACAAAGCTTAATTATCAATGTTCTGACCTGAGTACTTATACCTTCATTCCCGTTCGTACCACAACATGTCAGCATATCCTAACTAAATCTAATCCCGCTTTAAAAGTGGTCACAACCAGAACTAATAATTAATTAGTGGGACTATTCCTTAATCCGGCCACTCCAATAAAACCCTGTCAAACGAGAGCCGCATTAAAGGCACACACGGTTATGTCCAAAAAAGCAGGAGTCTTGTTCTCGCTTATTACGAGGCAGCCGTATATCCCTCCGTCTGGCCGTAGGTAGACGTCAGAGCCTTTTGTCACAAATGCGGTGGTGCGCCTCTGCGCATACGAAATACTTTTTCCACCTAGCTATGTTTTTTTGAGCAGTACCCGAGTGTGAAGCTGGGAGCGATTAGTAAGACTTTCCTGAATTTGCTGTTTTTGTTTCGTATTGTTTTTGTGTTCATTCGTTGTTGAGTGTGGGAGCTAATGGGAAATAGAATGTGATGTTTCGGACAAACATAGGTACCTCCTACATTTAATTTAGTTCTCGGTTGCAAGTAAATGACTTCGAGATTTGTTAAGAAGACTTTTTATATTGCTAGTTATCTTACCACAAGCGAGCCTTTTGTTCTTTATTTCCCATTTGCATTTACAACTTTCCAAACCAGACAGTAAAGAAAACCAACCCAGATATCATTTTATTAGACTCAAACTAGCATAGTAACCCTATCACCTACATTTCCCGCGACATAAATTCAATGTTTAATCCACCGCGAAATTTTCTCTCTGCATTGAAATTCAAATGATTCGTCGTCACGAAAATGCGATCCACTGGCAAGTTTTGCGCCAAACTCTGAACACGTACGAGGTTTTGGGATCCGACTCCGAATAGTCTTCGGGGCTTTTTAATAACCGTAAATGACGCTCTGAGCTGCTCCCTAAAATTCTCCATACACCTTTGTATAGCAGTGGTATGAAATGAAATTGAAATGGAAATTGTAGATTATTTGCACTGATAAAAGTGCACCGTGGAGTATTACAAAGTGTTGCGACATTTGAAACATAACAAATAGTATGTAGTTAAAAAAATAATCATTGGTAGATTCATTTTTGCCGCCTACATGAAGCGAATATTATATAACTGTTTGTTTTATAATTGTATGTTTTGTTCAAATCTTGCCTTGATTGTGAAGGTTGTGTTAATAAGAGTGTATATTATAGACTTCTTAGATCTTAATTACCTATAATTTGCAGTATCGTTTATCTAGTAGTCGTAAGCTTGATTGATGGTCTTGGGACATTAGATCATTGCGCAGAACGAAAAATAATAAAACTGGATTTTTCTAAGCTTTGAATTGTGCTCAGTATATTTATAATAATGGGTATTAATTCCGTTGTGGTATTTGAACTACAACGTAGTTACTGGAAACCAGATGTAGTATAAATTATCATTTTCAAGGCTAGACTAAGGCACAAAGCCATATTTCAAAACATAACAATATAATTTAAGCTTCAAACTACTAAAGAATGAGGTTTAGCACCGAAAATGAAATACTGGAAAGGCAACGATCATTTTAAGCATTTACATACTTCCCTCAGCGTTGTGCGTTCCGGAAAACTTCTGAATTACGTCGGATTCCGGTATTTGAGTCTAAACGGTATTACGGTATTCGTATCCGAAGCGTTCATAATTCCGGTACTGAATTTACACAGACCAAAGGACCAAAACTGCCATGCAATTTGAATGTGCTAAATAAATTTTATCTCTAACTGTTCGCAGTTGGGTCCTAAATTGACTGTTGTGTGGTGTGATCGTCCACAGAAGTTTAAATTAGGTTATCTATATGTGTACCATTTCAATATGCATAGCATTATTTGATAATGATGCACCCTGGCTTGACTTCAACATTTGCCAGTCCAACCAAACATTATATTGATAATAGTAATAATATTTAGTTAACTTCACTATACTTAGTGGCAGGAATCGGGATTCTCTAAACTATTCCTGGTTATGTTTTAAATGACTTCTTCGTGTGACTAACACCCGAATACTGAAACGTTACTTAATTTAAGTCTTAAATATCATGCTATTTCTATTATTTTACGATCTCCACCGTAAGCGCGGGCCTGCGAACGGCGAGCACGGTTGGCTCGCCGCCCGACCAGAACCAGACCAGAGCGTACGGCGCGTCGCGTTCCGGGCGCGCCTCAATGACCTATCAGACCACCACGGATGGGGCCGAATAGGGTTGATGCCGATACGGAGCCGCGGAAAACTTAACGGGTTACCGGGGTTCCGGCTCGAAGTGCAGGAGTAGAAACGGGGTGGTTTTTAGTCAGTAAGAATCTGACACTCCCTTCCGCCTCACCCAGGCGGGAGAAGTCATTCGATAATTATCCCCCTTAAAAAAATCTTCTATTATTTTACAAATAATTTGTATTGACTGAAGTATAAGTTAAACGAGCCTTAAAATTGAGTGGCGTTTGAGTAGTTAGACATAAAACTTAGGATACATAAAATCGAAAAAACAAAATTCTACAAAAAATGTTTCCTAAAATTCAATACAGTCGGAAATGGAAACTTCATTTCAAAGTAACCTATGAAACCCGACAAAAGTACGAGATGGTTCAAATATTTCACACAATATAACCCAAACTCTATTACGTTCAAATAGAGTTAACATTTCCCAATCGCTTCTCCACCATTGACTTTAAATGTTCAGCAATTCACTCGAATTGAAGCTTAATAAAGTATAACATTTGTATAGAAAAAAGGAAAGCCAAGAATGTATGACAGCATTCGATATCAAGATGTATATTTTGTCACGACGGTACAGAAATTCCAAAAGAAAAACTTTGACTTGTGATCTATGTGCTTCTATTTTCTAGATTAGCATGTGTTCGATTTGGATATACAAAATTCTGTGTCAGAAAAGTTCCGATGATATCGATGTTATATCATGTATCTTGGTTGAGGAAAAACATATAGTAATAAATTCTTCCTAACTGGTTTACATACACTGATTCACCTAATTTCACTGACGGACTGACTGACAGACTATTATTTATTTTGTATTTTTTGACGTTTCAAAAGTACCAAACTATGGTTTAATTGAAATAAATGCTTTGACTTTGACTTTGACTTTATACAATTTGAGCTTTTCCTGCATCAAAACGAAGAGGTTTTTCATTTAGTGAAGGGTTTTGATCTTTGAAGTTGGTCTTAGGTATAACCACAGCCTCAAAGATCCATCAGACCACCACAGATGGGTTCAACGCAGATATGGAGCTATGAAAGACTTAACGGGTTGCCGAGTAAGACTGACAAACCCTCTCGCATAACTCAGGTCAAAGGAGTCATTGGATGAATTAGGCACTTAAAATACGATAGAAAGAAATGTTGGAACCCACATCATTTGGAATTTATCATTGAACATCATTTGGAGCTTAATCAAAGTGAGTGTTCACTTATGTATACGACGATTTTGGTTACGTTATTCAGCAGTTAATATGCACATAATTTATGGAAAAAAGTCACCCTATCACTTTAGTTTACTACCAAAATTAAAATGCCAAGCAAAATTGAAACTTTATGACATAAAACAAAACGTCTACACCGCAAAAATGCCGCGAAGCAGAAAAACGTAACAACACTATACATCATTGTAAGTAGATCTCGTGCTTCATAAACCGCTAACACTATCGGTTATTCTCTGATGGATCGCTGTGGGGGCATAAATCAACTTTCACAGTATAAATCCATGACTCCACGCGGCTGTCAAATCAATTTTTTGCTACAAGCTCGTTGCTAGATTATCTTGTTATTCTATTTAGGGATTAGATTTAGCTTAAGTGGTTGTTTTTGGGATAAAATCCTATACGGAATAAAATATCGATAAGAATATTCGTAGGTTTGAGAATCTTTGCAAAAATGTGTCTCAAAAACAACATTCTTAATAAAATTATGTTTAATGTTATTTTTCTGAGGACATTACATTACGCTAATAGTCTTTGCTTTGTTATAGTGCTTGTGACAGAGATAAAAGATTAAAGCTTAAACTAAAACTGATATAATATTCTTTATATACCTACTTATACGAAACATTAACATACTTTATCTTTAACTTAAGACCTAAATTCACTCGATGTAACCAAACAGAATCCCTAGAGGACGGACACAAATGTTGGTGGCGCTGCTATCGCTTTTAAGGATAAATATTTCTTTATTCATGGTTAGAAGCTCACGGTTTTTTCATACTTCTCCCCAAAGACCTTTGTTTGATCCAGACTACAAAGTTTATCTAGATTTTTGAATATCTTAACAAAACCGTTATACTGTTTTGATACAAAAGCTTAAATAATTTTTTTTAAAGAACGATCTTGTAGATAAAAATACTGCCTTCTGTTATTTCGCAAATTCTTTGAATTTTAGACAGCTGTCAAGAGAAAATTCATACGAATATTTCTTTATAAAAATCTTCTGAGAATTCTCTGTGCTGATTCAAACATAGCTGGCAAACGGTACTATCTAGTTTTTTAGGATAGAACGGCGTATGCTAACCTGAAAAAAAAAATACTTAGAACTTCGAAGAAATGAATCTGAATAAAATTCTACGAAACTCAGAATTTTGTATAATAAAACTATGATTAGAGAAGTAATATAATTTTTCTATACATAGTTACATAACGGCCACATGAAATTGACAATAACCCGCAGACCTATCAGGGATTACTTTATATTTTTTTCCTCACAAATAGTTTCTGAGATCACTCATCTGGAATTTCCGCATCACCCACTTCTTAAAATTTACTCAACCTTTTTATAAAGAACTCGAACAAAAACCGTCAACAATATTAAATACCGACGTCAAACTCTATATCTTCGATCCACAATTTTTTATTGGAAGCGCTTCTTATATCATCAAGTGAATAAAACACGATGGGAACAAGTAAATGGTGACCCAAATATGGATTTATTGCTTTGGATTTCTGGATTTGATTTATATCCAGGAGTGGATTGACTTACAACACATCGATTTTGTGAATTGCATTACAATCGATGAGGAGGATATGATGTATCGTGGGAGAATGCTTCTATTTATTAGTGGTGATATAATTTGATGAGCCAATCATTTCATGGATATATTTTATTGACTGTAGTTAAGCTAATATTTGCATGAAATCATACAGTTATCAGAAGTTATACCTGATTAATTTTGAAAACGTTTAAAATTAAACCATAATTTGAGTACGTTTAAAAATAAAATGATATCGATATACACGCATGTTTACAAAATCATTTTACTGAAAGACTTTAAAAAAATGGAGCATAATATTTCCTATAAAAACAGGCTTATCGATTTTAACATTTTCCTCGTTATTCAAAACCATAAGCGATTTTTCTGACATCGTTAGCGTATGTACAGGATGAGATCACACGAGCGTATATCTATCCCTTTCTACCCTTATTACCGTGCAGATTTGCAAGATAGCTTCGATGTGCCCGACCAGTGTTTATGAAAGTCCCAAGTATAATGGCCTAAGTAAAAAACTGCTCGTATGCAGGATGACGTGGTAATTGTTGGTCCTTAAAGTAATATGGGATGGACACGTGCGAGTCAGACGTGTTTGCTGATTTCGTCAGTAATTTTGGAAGTTTATAATGTCTTACGCTATGTATGATATCATTGAGTGGAGGCTCTTATGGTAAAAGTTCCATTTAACCATGTTTCGCTCAGTAAATTCTTTCCAAATCAGAGATCATAAAGGTTGTCCATGCGAATTTAGGTTAAACCTTTCGTTCTTAATAACTCCGTTGTGGTCCATGCATATTTACATTCGTACATATTATGTGCTTTTGGTTAGTAGCAGTTTAATAAAGTTTTGTACCTTTTGCCCTCAAATTCAATTATAACTGCTAGTATTTTTGAAAATATAACCAATAAAAAGCAGGCAAGCTCCCAACTCCAGTCTTGCACCACACATCTAACTTCCAACAAAAACTTGATTTATCCTTTTCTTCCCGATCCATCATGGCTGAGATAAGACGAAGTGGGGGATGCCGGGAGGACGGGCGAGATATCTCGAACCTTTACTGAAAATTCCCGTCGAATCCGATAGACAGCTATCCTTTTTTTGTTTCCATCCAACAATCTGAATGGAAAGATGCGAGATAGCGAGTGTTCGGTATTGTTCAAATTGTTTGAATTTTTATGTGGGAAAAATGTTTTTTCTTTCTTTTGTAGGAAGGACAAAGTTTTTTAACAGTCACAGCAATTTATGCCGGTTCCATTCAATCAAAAGATGGACTTCCCCTTAGTCAATATGACGATCAGTTTTTGAAACCTCTGTAGAGTCAAAAGATATTATGAAGTTTTTATGAGTTTGATATAAACAACTGTTCTAACGACTATTGTGGCTTTTAACAGTAATCAAATCTTACTCTATAAAACTCATTTCTATTTAAATTTTATTTGTCAAAGTATTTCCTAATGCAGAGGTATTCAACATCGGTTAGTCGATGTGAAATACTGTCTCTGATTAAATATCACGTGCCATTGAAAACCAGTCCTTATTACGGCTGCATAAAACCGTAGCCGTCTTCATTCCACTCGATTGAAAAGTGACAAAAGAACTTGAAAATAAAGAAAAAACGAATAAGGTCATTCGAGGAAAAATAGGCTAACTAGGTTAGGGATTCTTTCACTACACCCTGTGTGGGAGCTCTTAAATCTTCTATACGTACTTATGGTTTTAGCAAGCAGTACGCTATCGACCTTTTAAAAGTAAAGTAGGTACGTTTTCTCGCATTTTTATCTTTGTGGGGTGAACTGAACGCCAAATTTTAACACTAAGTGTGTTGGCAGTATTCCAAGGTACAGGCAAGCAGTAAGTAATATGTTGGGTTAAAAGGTCACAATTTTGCATAAGTAGTGACAGGTTGGTACATTATCGCTGTTGGGGATTTATAGTAATGATTCATTTTCGTCTGGTTTGCGTTTATCATGTTCTAGATACGGATGAGCGATTAATTCTGAGTCTCTTGTAGAGGATTTTTATTTTCATGTTTTTCATATCATTTTTTTGTATCATTTTGCGTTTGAAATACGATATATGATGATATTATTTTCTAACTTATTGATCCGTTAGTTTCTTCATATATTTAACTGAATACTATCTTCGTTAAGATTTCGAAAATTTCAATTTGACGTGCAGCTGAATGTTTTGTCCGTTCTTTCGCCTTTTCCTTGGCATAAAAATATATTATTTTTAAGTTCGTATTCTGCACTTCAATGGGGACACCATCCATTACCATCGTGAAAGCTATCATCACTACATTTATTGGTTTCTAGACGCTCATAAAAATAACGTATAGGTATAACATATCTCGCCTGTCCTTCTTGTAGGACGTATTAGTTCGGTTACGACCCCTCTATATTGCTCTCTTCGACAAGTTTGGTGATTATCTGTTATCGTTCTTTCTATATTATTGATTAAATACTATTTGTTCTGAGGGCTCTTGTTATGGTTTTTATTAATATGTATAAGAGGATTATCTTTGTTTCGGTTATTGGTTTTGTTAATATTATTGTGAATTGTATTAACTCGTGTTAAATTTAGATCAATACCGGGTGAAAATAAAGTCCTCGTTTGCCGAATGGTCTTACGTATCGGGTTGATTAAAATTTGGTTATCAGTTAACATTTGAGTCTTCCTTCTTCATTCTTTCTTTATATTCTGTTCATTACCAATTATGACATACATAATAGACTCCTCTAACTTAAGAAATTCTTCCAGCAGGTGTAAGAGACGCAGTTGCCCGCTATCCAGTGCTGGTCTTCGTGCACGGAGAGAGCTACGAGTGGAGTTCTGGCAACCCTTACGATGGCACAGTTCTGGCGTCACACGCTGGACTGGTTGTCGTCACTATTAATTACAGACTTGGAATTTTAGGTATGATTTTTTAATTTTTCATAATATATTTTTAAAGTGTAGGAGAGCCATGCTTTGGCAGGAATGGGTCGGCTCGACCAGAGTTATAACACGGCCTCACAGAAAACCGACGTGCTTGCGTTGTGTTTCTTCGTGTGAATCGGGAGGTTATCGAAGACCTAGTTAGTTCCCTTAGTCCCCCCGCTTCTCCAATCTCCTCGATCCCTGAATCTCCAAAAGGCCGGTAACGCGCTTATATTGCCTTTGGCGTTACAGCTGTCCATGGGTGATACTGATTGCTTACCATCGCATGATCCGGTTGCTCGTTTACCGACTTATCTCAGAAAAAAATATAGTAGTAGTTAAGCGGTCTATGGTTATGGAAAGCATGGTGGTCATTCCATGTGAGATGTTGGCATTTAGCAGACCCTGGTTAAAACTTAGAATCGACGCAACCCGAGAAGATCAAGTCTTTCAATTCTCAATTCTATTATTCTAATAATATTAAGTTCAGTGGTATTTTCCACTCAGGAAGGTAGGGAAAAACTTCGGAAACGGCTACTCGATTCCACCGGTTTTAGCGGTAGAACAGGCAATCAATACGAAATATCGATTTACAAATAACTATTTTTGTATTCTTTAATTAGAAATTTTCCTACAACCTTGAGTGAATTATTAATTTTCAATCTGAACGGAGTTTGGAAATTACTATAGAGGGAAAAGTTTGTAATTTTTTGTGAAATACAAAATGTATTGTTGGAAGGTTTCCATTCTTCGTATGGACACGTGGACTTGAAGGTTGACACTATTAAGTGCAGGTTTCGGGGTAAGTGAAATGTTTGAATAATAAGTAGGGTAAAGAGGCTCTCTACGGTAAGTTAAGGGTTGGGTTTGGGTCCAACAGTGGGACACTCGTACCCTCTTGTGTTGACCATCGATTAAGATACGAGTACTGAGTTGCTACCTCCAAAGTTTTCTAGACTCCCGATATTAGAATATATTATACTAAGTTTTACACGCGGTTTTGCCCGCATATTCCTGTTTTATCCCATGGAAGCATTAAATCGGAATAAAAAGTATCCTATCACCTATCCTATCCTGTCTGTTCACTTCGATGTATAATTTTATCAAAATTCGTTCAGTAGTTTCAGCGTGATTGATGAACAAACATCCAAACATACAAACAAAGAAATTTTCACATTTATAATATTAGCGTGATTTCCACATTCACATTTATAATATTGTCTAACGAGAAGCTGGAAAACCTAACTTATTTCAAAATCATATTTAGATCAATTTACTATGAGTTAATCAACACACATCTTCTAGTTATTTGCAATAAAAAAAAATATTATCAGAATCGGTTCATAAATAACGGAGATATTGAGAACCTCCTCGTTTTTTGAAGTCGGTTAAAGTGACTCAAAAAATATCATTCCACTTTTACAATATATTTCTTGAGTTGCATCAAATTATACAGATTTCACAACTAAAGGGAAGGCATCGTTCGTCTCTGTTAATTAAGTCTTGAATAAGATTGTCACAACAAAGCCGGCCACTGCTGAAGCTTTGCCGAAACTCTGAGCTCCGTGGCAATGCTAATTGCATACCAATTTTGCTTAAAGATACTTGAACACACAATGAATGTTAATTTTTATAATTTCATAGTATTTAACCGACTTAAAAAGAAGATTCTCCTTCGGACCTCGATCTCGCGATTGGCTGATCCGATTTTTTGTGCGGTTTTAAAAAAAATGCGTTTGTTATATTTAGGAAAAGGTTTTAGTGTATTAATTAACCAACTTCATAATAAAGGAGATTAACGTCGGTCATATTTCATATGAGAATTATTTACTGTCAGATGTGTCTTAGTGCGTCACTGCTCATTTGAAACCTTTCATTTTATTTTAACATTAATGTGTGAGTGTTACAAAATTTTATTATACATCTCCTATATAATTCCGTAATTCGGCTCGACCGGAGTGATACCACGGCTTTACGGACGTGGAATCGACGTGAAACAACGCTTGCGTTGTGTTTCGTCGTGTGAGTGAGGTTACCAGAGGCCCAATCTCCCCCCTTTCTCAATCACTGAATCCCCAACAATCCTCAAATTCCTAATCCCCAAAATGCCCGTAACGCACTTGTAACGCCTCTGGTGATCCAGGTGGCCATGAGCGACGCCGATTACTTACAACTAGGTAATCCATTTGCTCGTTTACCGGTTTATCCCATAAAAAACAAAAAAAAATAATTGAGAATTGATCTCGTTCGACAGTCGAACCTTAGAGTATTTGAATAAACACCTCCGAAAAAATTTCATCACAAACGCTAGAAGAAACCAACATGAATAAAACGTAGTTATAATAATTCGTTCCACATAACTTATGTATTAAATCCTGAAAATTCACACACATTTACATTAGCTACTTAAGAAAACAAGAATTTGACAAAGACCTTTCTATTCACGAAATCATTGTCTCAAAAAGATTATATTCCATTTTACAAGACAATCTCACTTTATTCCTACATTATACTGAGTTTATACGCAATGTGAACTGTCATGGCGGACAAACTGATGATAAGACTGGTTGTTAAAAGGATATTGCTGATAAATACAGACAATAACCCACCGCAGTCGGATTTCTCTGTGTACTTTAGCTCTGATGTTAATATCTTTGGTAATTTAGACCGTAGCATTCATTTTAGGGTTGATTTTGATGATGTTGTTGTTATAGGGTATGAAGGTAATGATACAAATTGCGTGGTTATACATTTAAACAATGATTATAAGTGCGAATACAAATTCTGATTAGTATTTTAGTATTTTATTATACTATCATTGTAGTTGTGTTGTCGCGGAGAATCTAACGGTCGCGGAGAACCTAACGGATAACAGGGGCTTCGGTTCGACGTGCAGGAGAAGGAACGGGGTGATTTTTAGTCAGTAAGAGTCTGACACTCCTTCCCACCTCACCCAGGCGGGAGCAGTCATTCGATAATTTTCCCCCCTTAAAACAAATATAGTTGTGTTGGACTAAAAGGCCTAAAATGGTTATATCGGTCAGTCTTTATTAGTTGTCAGTTCTTTTTAACAGGAACTAAAGGATAAACACTCACTGGGCACTATTACCAGTCTTCGTATTATAATTTAAGAGTTCAGAATTTCGAGAATCCCTATATATATTCTGTAAAGTAGATACCATAGAGATTGTCGAATTTCTAATACTAGTGATTTGAATTTCTAATACGAAATATTACTAGTCCACACTAGTATTAGTAATATTTTTATGACTCCATTGAGCCAACAGTTCACAACTCCTAGACAAACACAATTTTCAAAACACATTAGGGACTTGATTTCAATCACTACTACTTTTCACACATCGCATGACAAACAAAGTCTTTGTGTATTTTTCCATACAATTTCTTTTGTGCATATCATTGAGGTCAATAACCGATTCAAACACTACGGTCGTTGACTCGGACGTATATTTTGACACAATGCAATTTAGCCTTCATGAAAGTTACATTAAAGTCTTTATTTAAACACATTGCGGTGTAGCATGCAAACAGGTGCTTGCGAGCGTAAGTAATTAAAAGTTTTGATTTGATATGATTTTTTATTGTGTAAATTTTGCTGAATGTATGAAGTTAGTACGAAATGTCGTTTTGTGGTGTAATGAATGAGTGTAAACTTAGATATTATGACTTGTAATATTCTTGACGTAGTGTTGGAAAAACTTTCAAGTGTACTTTCTTTTGTTTGTTGTTCAAAATGTTCGTTTTGAACAACAAACAAAAGAATCGTTTCTCTAACAAGAAATTGTTGAAGTTTCTTTGATTGTTTTGTTATGATTTGAAATTTAACTCGTATATGTGCCCGACTATGAAAAATTCACTACATTTCACATCACAAAAGTAGTCTCTAAACTTGGGAAATAAGGTCTATAACAAAGTTAGTGTGGAGCGGTCTACGGTGACGGCTTGAAGATTGATCAATGAATAGGCAATAAGATTTTAGTGTCTTTTATATTAAGTTAATATAATGTTACATACCTATGTAGCCTGCCTCATTGGCCGAGTGCCTGCAAGTTCGACTGCCTGGCAAGGGGTCTCGGGTTCGATTACCAGGTTGGGCCAAAAATTAATGGGTTTTTAAAAAAAAAATCTCAGTAGTAGTACGGAGTGTGCCCGGTATATGGCAATAGGCTCACCCCCTATTACATAAGACTCATAACATAAATAGTGAAAAAGTGGGTGTTACATTGTACAGTGGCATAATGTGCACTTCTGCCTATCCCTTCGGGGATAAAAGGCGTATTATGTTCTTTAAACATCTATGTAACTAATGAGAATAACATCGTACTAGTAATTATTAGGTAGACGTACAATGAACTTCAATAAGAACAATTACTTACAAAATGAAACGGTTTAATGAAAATTAATAATTAAAAATGAATTATATATCTTGAATAAATAAACAATTAATTTTTAATGTAGATAAACATAACCATATACAATTTCTATTTTAGCTTTTCAAACATATTTAATTTGAATGAAATTTTCTTCTAATTACCCCAAGGAACCCTGTTAATTGAATAAACACCTCGTTAATTTAGTTTAGATAATATTTATAATAAAATTGTGGGAGAAAATTAAGTCTAGATTTAAATATAGACTTTACGTAATGTTGCTTAATAGAAATAATTTAATAGATGGAGTAGTATTTACTTTAAATATTGAAATCATAAGTAGAATGTTGATAATTCATTATGTATACTATAATATTAATCTGAACAATATGAGCCAGTGGAGCAACATAGATCATTTTCTTCATAATCATAACATAACATAACATTACGCCTTCTATCCCCGAACGAGTAGGCAAAGGTGCACATTTTGGCATTTAATGCAACTGTTCACTATTTATGTTAGGAGTCCCATTTTATAAGTGGTGAGCCTATTGCTATATACCGGGCACAATTCCAGAACACGTGCTACTACTGAGTTTCTTTATT